ATAGAATATTTAGCAACTTACATAGAATATTTAGCAATTTATGTAGAATAGTCAGCAATGTATATAGAATATTTAGCAATTTATATAGAATATTTAGCAACTTACATAGAATATTTAGCAATGTATAGGAAATTAGGAAGCCCCTGGAAGAGCTTACTCAGGAATACACAGCAGCGGAGCAGCAGGAGGGGAATTTTATGTCATCACCCCAAATCCATCCCAAGTGGGAGGATTTCCTGAGTTCCCCAGCGCGGCCAAGCGCGGGGAGGAGGCCGAGAGCATCTGCAGCATCCCCTGGCAGAGAGCCCCACTCTTAACTGCCTGCCCTGGCACTGCCCTGGCACTGCTGGCACCCCAGAAATGGGAATATTGTGGATTCCCAGGGAATCACTGGAGAAGGGGCTGAGCTGGGATCACGTAGGCACACTGGGCCATGAACAAACGGCCGTTTATACTGGATTTTCTGCCTCATTTTAACACGTGCCAAGGGATAAGCTGTGGGTTTATTGGGTGTACAGATGTCCAAAATAGATTTTTAGGGGGGTTAACAATACCTTATTGTTGGTGGGGAAGGAGTCCTGCCTCCAGACACACATTTCTCCTCTGAAGCCCATAAAATTTCCACAGCAGGTTTATAAAAACTCAACCAGGGACAACAAAGTGGGCAGGGAAGAGCCCAAAGAGCGGCGCTGATGGAAAATGATGATTATTTCTAGGAACATATGGCCACGGAGGGATAAGGACCCTGCTCCTCTCTGAGTAGGTCACACCACGCCACAAAAACCACAGAAAACTCACCAGGGGCAAAGCGGGTCCAGGACAGGAAAAAAAAAAATTGAGGGGTTGTTCACTTTGTAGGAAAAAAGATGGAATTGCAGCAAGTCTTGTTGCTCAAACTACCAAAAAAAAAAAAAAAAAAAAAAAAAATCATGGAATTCGAAATAGTTTTTAAAAAGTGGTGGTAGAATCATGGGTTTTATTTGTACGTTTGCTCTTGCTTCCCATTACAGCACAAGGAGGGATTGTCTGAGGTGGCAAAGAGCCACCAGAAATCCTACCTTGCCACCTCCTTTTGGAGCCAAGATCTCTTTCCAAAGGCAGATCCCAATCAGCGAGGCGGACACGGCACCTTTCACCCAGGGCTGAAATAACAGTTTGTTCTCGAGCTAAATGAGTTCATTTTCACGAAATAGGTCTCCCCCGAGTGAGCCAGACCATCAGCAGCACCAGCAGACACTCCCAGCTCTCCTGAGCTCTCCTTGGATCTCTTGACCCCAAGGACTCGCTCTGCCCATTCCATCACATCAATCCGATAGACATCAGGAGCAAAACGGGGCAGGAAAAGGAGTGGGGTCAGAACTTCCTGCCCTCAGGTCCTAAAAATCATCTTGAGGGATGCCCAGCTTTTATTTTTAGTGCTCCTTAAACCCCTTTTTCACCCAGGCCGTGAGAAACTGGATGGATCGACAAATCGTGCGATGCAACTTGGGTTTCCATTGGAAAAGCCCGAGCCTGCAGGGCTGCAAGCAAATAATTTATTCCGTTTCCAAGCTGCGCTGTAACTTATCCTTCACTTTTACACCAGAGAGTGGCAGGAAATCAGCCCGGAGATCAGACACGCGAGCGCCGAAGAACGGGGCCGGCGGATCGCTGACGCATAAATCAAGTTTTAGATTTACAGGGAACAAGCCTCCCACTGTAACGCGGCCAGGAGGACTTTTCAGATGTTTTTATGTCAGCACTGGCCTAAAAAAATCACCCAGTGGGGATGGGAAGGGTTGGATTCTCTCCCTGCCAGCACCTCCTGGGGCTGTAGGGTGGCAGAGGGGTTAGACACGAGGGCAAGCCTGGTTAAACCCCATCCTCGGTGTTTGCATAATTGATGAGTGGATGTTGGGAATCATTTTATCCCAGCAGTCCTAATGAGTTAAATCACTTTGGGATCCTCCGTCTCACCGAGGATTTGTTTTCGGCTCGTCGCGCCGCTGAGGAAACGCGGATCTGGTGGAGGAAACTCATCCCCACCCCTCGTCCCTGGCAGGGCTGGACCACACTGACCACAGCCAAGCAAAAATACCAAAATTTGTATTTTCCTGTGCTGCTTCCAGCACTGATTGCAGAGGGAACGGCACCACCGAGTTTCCACAGCAGGAAAATAACGCACGGCTCTGAAATCCGTGAGGCTGGAGCAAGCCTGACCTCCAGACAGCACCAGCACCAGCCAGGTCCTCCTAGCTCAGTGCAAAATGGCTTTTTCACAGCAATAAAAGGAGGGAAAAATCCAGCAGAAGTTGTTCTAAAGGTGGCACCAGGGATTTCCACCACTTCCCCCTGGCATCTCTGTGCTTTGCACCAATTCCCACAGAACGAGCACTCTGAAGTGACAGAATAAGTGGGTTTTTTTATATATAGAAAATGCATTTATTGTGCCAGTTTTGCCCCACTGGAAGTTCCCAACCCATCAGCCCAGCAGCTGGTGTGGCCTGAAAATGAATCTTGAAGTGATTTTGAGAAACGAGCCACAGCCTGGGCTCGTGATACTGGAAAAATCAACCAGTGTGGATTACAAATGATGGATATTCCTGCAGGGATTCCCACAGTTTGGGCAGGTTTTTCATACCTGCCCGTGCCCATTGCCAAGTAAAAATTCCCAAAATACAGCACAAATTATGTGCATATGGAAAAAAATTATCCAGCTCATTGTATTGGCAAGTGATAGTTAAGAATAGAATTTAATAATTATTAAGACAGTGGTAATATTCCCTCTGCTTAAGCAGGAAAGAGCACACACGCTGGCTGCAACTGGAACCACAATTATTTATCTATGAAATTAATTTAATTTTTAATTTAATCTAATCCAAAACTAGGCTGGATGGGGCTTGAAGCAACCCGGGGAAGGCGTCCCTGCCCACGGCAGGGATTGGAATGGGATGAGCTTTAAGATCCCTTCCAACCCATAATATTCCATGATTGTTTAGAGAAAATATTCCATGATTTTCCAGTGTTTTTAATTAACAGGGAAGAAGAGCAGGAAGCTCTTTAGAGCAGCAGCAGCAGCAGCGTGACTCTCTTTTATTACCGACAAATACAATTATTCCCTTTGCTTTCATTCGGAAAACAACTTTTGAAGAGCCCCATTTCCATAAAGAGGCTCTCAGGAAAATAAAAAGAAAATAGAAATAAATACAACCACGCTCCCAGCCTGCTGCCAAACCCCGGAGCCCCGCTGGGGAGCGGGGCAGGACCAGCCTGGGAGCGCCTCCATCACCTCTGCGGAGCCAAAACCACCGGAGAACCCTCTCTTTTTGGGGGCTGTGACCCCAAAAAACAGGGAGTTGGGGGGACAAGGGGGTGCTTGGAAGGGAAGGGCGGGTTCCAAACACGGGGGGCTCCTGGAGAATCCCCCCGGGGCTCATCCCGGGGCTCGTCCCGGGGCTCGTCCCGGGGCTCGTCCCGGGGCTCGTCCCGGGGCTCGTCCCGGGGCTCGTCCCGGGGCTCGTCCCGCGGGGCCGGTTCTGCTGCTGGAGGGGAGCGACGGGTCCCCAAATCCGGCTGGAATGGCCGAGCCGGGGCTGAGCGAAGGGAAAATTCACATTTTTTTCCCTTTAACCCCGCACAGGCACGCGTTTGTTTTGCTGAGCACGTGTCAACCCGAGCGACTTCTCGACTGAAAATAATAATCGCCTTTTTTCCGCTGTAACAATGGAGAAAACAAGAGGGAAAACAAGAGGGGAAACAAGAGGGAAAAGCGGTAGAAAGAAGGGATTTGGGGGGTTAAACAGACACAGGGACGTACCTTTGCCGCACGGATTTTCCAGGCGCTGGCTCAGGGATTTTCCATCGCTCCCTCGGCGGCCGGGGCAGCCCGGGAGCCGGGAATGCGGGATCTGGGAATGCTGGAGCCGGGAATGATGGAGCCGGGAATGATGGAGCCGGGAATGATGGAGCCGGGAATGCTGGATTCAGGGATGCCGGAGCCGGGAATGCGGGATCTGGGAATGCTGGAGCTGGGAATGATGGAGCTGGGAATGATGGAGCCGGGAATGCTGGATTCAGGGATGCCGGAGCCGGGAATGATGGAACCGGGAATGCTGGATCCGGGGATGTTGAAGTCGGGAATGCTGGATCCGGGAATGCTGGATCCAGGGATGCTGGAGCCGGGAATGTTGGATCCAGGGATGCTGGAGCCGGGAATGCTGGATCCAGGGATGCTGGAGCCAGGGATGCGGGAGCAGGCTGGGCTCGCCGGCTCATGGAGCAGCAGCGCCCGCTCCGCTCCGCTGGCAAGGCGAGATTAGGATCTCCGGCGGGCAGGGAATTGTGCTGAGCTCCGGCTTTCCTTGGTGCTTCATTCAAAACGAGATTTTACTCCGCGCTGGTGTGGACGCATCAAACAATCAGCGGGTTTGTTCCAGAAAGGGGAAAAAAAAAAATAAAAATCTATGGATAGCAAAGGGCGAGCTCAAAAGCACAGAGAGTCAGCAGCCGAGGAGGAGAGGAATCCTGCGAGCCAGGAGCAGCATCCCAGGGTGAACCACAAGCATTCCAGCCTGTGGGATTAGTTTATTCCCGTTTTTCCTCTCTTGCCCAGTTCGTGCTCCAGCCCCGGCGCTGAATCAGCGGCTCCAGCCCGGAGCTCCGGGAAGCTTCACCCGGGCAGAGCTCCGGGGCTGCGGGGTTTCATCCCGTGCCAGCTTCCCGAGCGCTTCGTTATCTCTGCTGCTCGCAGGTTTTCAGGACCTTCATGAGGTTTATCACGTCTGTGTCCCGGCAGGCTGAGCTCAGAAAATCCCCCTCGTGTTTCCAGACCGTGACATCACATCGCAGCTCGGCTAAGTGGCTTCGAGATAACAGGCGATGCCCCCTCCCTCCCTGAGAATTCCGAGATAAAAACGTTGAAGAAGGGCAGTTTGCACACACACGGGCTGAGGTTTAACAGCACGGCTTTTAATTTCTTTCGGGACATTAATTAGTCATGCAGAAAGTATTCAAAATAGAAAGCGTGCAAACCAGAAAGTATTCAAACCAGAAAGTAAAGTATTCAAACCAGAAAGTAAAGTATTCAAAACAGAAAGTAAAGTATTCAAAACAGAAAGTATTCAAAACAGCCTGAGCACCAATTCATAAAAAATCATGACTATGAAACCAGCACTGGCTGCCAGCTGAGAGCTGCTCCGAAAGGCAGGAACGCTCTTGGGAGAAGCTCCAGCGCCTCTCTCCCACTGCCATCCTCACTCCCAGCACACAAATCAGGGGCAGCACCGGTCCTTCCTGCTCCCTGCTGCTCCTGCTTCCTCTTCCAATGTTTTTGGGAAGAGCATCTCCAACGTGGAACCTCCCCCAGACAGGTCTGAGGCGTTCCTGACCTCTGGGTTTCGAGCGCTGCCACGCGCTCGCTCCTCTGCATGATGGCATTTGTCATCACAGAATCCCAAAATATCCCCAGCTGGAAGGGATCCACAAGGATCACCCAGTCCAACCCCTGGCCCTGCACAGGATGCCCCAAAAATCCCTCCTGAGAGCGTTGTCCTGGAGCTCTGGCAGCCTTGGGCTTTGCCCATTCCCTGGGGAGCAATTCCAGTGCCCCACAACCCTCTGGAGGAAGAATATTTTCCTAAAATTCTCTCTGTTGACATAAACATTTATCACTCCTTGAAAAAGCTGCAAAGTCTGATTCAAATCTGTAATTAATTGCTTATTATTTACCTACACGGCTTCTCAGAGATGTCCAGATTTTCCTCTTAGGTTTACTAAGGTATAAATATTAATTTTAAAAATTCCTTAGGCTTTTGCATGGAAAATGCTGTGGAATTGAGCACTGAGTCAGGCTCGAGGACAGACCTCCTCAGACCACCGTGTCCCAAAATTCAGATAGAGGCTGGAGGATGAAGGACTTGAAAAAATTACTGGAATGAGGCTGAGAACAACAGGGAATGAATCGAAAGTTTTGGGAAAAGCTTTAAGGGGATAAGGAACAATCTCAGCGAGGGCAGGGAAGGATCCCTGTCCTTGCCCTGCTGCAGGAGCAGGGCTGGGGTGGTTCTGGACCAGGAACTGCTCAGGCAGGAGATTTAAAATCCAGATCTGGGTGTCAGGACTGAGTCAGGGCTGGGCGTGGAGGACCAGAGCTCAGTGCTGAGCAGGCACTGGGATGGAGAGGGCAGGAACTGGGAATTCCATGTGGGAAAGAAGCAACAGCAGCCCCAGAGACAGGGCATTGTTTGGGCCAAGAATTCCAGAATCCCGACAGGTTTGGGTTGGAAGAGACCCTAAAGCTCATCCCATTCCACCCCTGCCATGGGCAGGGACACCTCCCTCTGTCCCAGGCTGCTCCAACCTGAATTCCTCCCTAAAATCCAATTTAATCTCCCCTCTTTTAGCTAAAGGAAGCATCTCCCTGGATTTTGTCAGGTGGCAGCTGTGGAAGTGGCTGAGGCACAGCAAATCTTCAGCGGTTCACTACAGAGGGCGGTGGCAGCCGACCTCATCCCAAAAATAGATGGGCAGGGAAAGAAATCTCCTTTCAGAGATTAGGAGAGTGGAACAGACCCTGAGCATTGCTGACAGAGGGTGGACACCCTCCTGGCTTAGCTCAAATCATCCATCAGACCCAAAATCCTCACCTGACGCATGGCATTTAATAACACACCCTTAATTATTTCCATATTTATCCCCAGGAACAGAACAGAACAATCTGTCTGCTGCTCTCAGAGCCTGTGAATCATCCCCATGAATCAATCAGAACAAAACAAGGAGCTTTAGTGAGAGGGAGCAGTGAGACAGCATCAGGAACAGCAAAAGTTTGACAGAAATCAAGAAATCCCAACCCAGAATCAGGATTAACAAGGGCTGTAAATCTTGGGGAATGCTACAAAAGCCTCGTGGTCCTGCAGGGAGATTAAGAGGTCAAAATGTCTCATTGAGAAGGTTCAGACCCAAAATCCTCACCTGACGCACGGGATTTAATAACACACCCTAATTATTTCCATATTTACCCCCAGGAATAGAAGAGAACAATCTGTCTGCTGCTCTCAGAGCCTGTGAATCATCCCCACGAATCAAAACAACAAAAGGAGCAGCCAGGCTCTGGGACAGCATCAGGAAGAGGAAAAGTTTGACAGAAATCAAGAAATCCCAACCCAAAATCGGGATTAGGAGGGCTGCAAATTTTGGGGAATGCTACAAAAGCCTCGTGGTCCTGCAGGGAGATTAAGAGGTCAAAATGTCTCATGGAGAAGGTTCAGATGAATGAATTTATCCCATCAGGATCCCCAGGAGTGAAGCCCTCCCTGCCTGTGTGTGCATGCACAGGGAGATTTCAAACCTTTGTGGGAAACCCCATTGTGAAAAGGACTTGTGAAATCACGTCAGTCGTGGAATAAATTGTGAATCCTTTTAAGACTCCCTTACAGAGGTGGGGATTAAAGGGAGTAATTGATGTCAAGCCTTAAAAAAACAAAAAAGCTGGGTGATTCTTTGGGAAAGACATTTCTCTCTTCTCCCGAGGAGCAGCCACGTGCTGAGTCTGAGCCCTGATTTGGGGTATTTGGGGCAGCATTTACAGAACAGCCCAGGAAGTGTTGGGAGCCTGGTGCTGAGAATATTCGATTTTTGTGCTGCCAGGAGAACTCTGCACTGACCTGAGGCCCTGGAGAAGGTTCCAGAATGGAATGGCAGAGCTGGGATTGTGGGGGTGGAGTTTGGATAGAAGTGTGAGATATCACAGGGTGAAAACTCAGAATTTAAGGGTTTAGAATATAGGAATATAAATAAAGCAAGGTGGAGGTTTTTGGGTGGAGGCTGGACCACCTTCTTCTTCTTCTTCTTCTTCTTCTTCTTCATCTTCTTCTTCTTCTTCTTCATCTTCTTCATCTTCTTCTTCTTCTTCTTCTTCTTCTTCTTCTTCTTCATCTTCTCCTGCTTCTTCTCCTCCTTCTCCATGGTTTTGATTGGTTCTGTGTAATTGGATAAAAAAGTCCCCATTGCAGGCACGGGTGTTTGGTTATTGGGTTAAAAGTGAAAATAATTCAGGTGTCATTTCTTAATTGGACAGTTTATCCTTAAAAGGCCTTGGAGAGAGAGAGATGAACCTCCATTTTTGGTTTGTTGGGGTGAAGTGCTGCAGAACTCAGGGTCTGTGAGACTGCAACATAAATAAAAACTAATAAACATCTGAGTCCCAACAAGAAATCCCATCTCACACATTTAATCCTTGTCAGAAAAGAAGCAAAGACTCCGCAAGCGCTGGGGTGCCTCAAACTGGGAAATCCTGGAGCATCAAAATCCAGTTATTAACAGCAAATATTAACTCATCAATTTAAAAATATCACATGAAATAATCAGTGCTCAGAGAGGGCAGCTCCAGCTCTGCTGAGAACAAATCCTGGCGTTGTCCTGCTGCTGGGGGACATCTGCTCCTTCGGGATGGGCTTGGAGGGCTGTGGCTGTGCCTTCGGGCACTCGGCAAAAATAGAATTTCATTTCCACACCTCTGCAGACGCTCCCTCAGTGGCCAGGAATGAAGCCCAGAGTGTGTCCCAGGCTCTGCAGCTCAGCCCTCGGCTCCCGGGCCAGCTCTCAATGGCTTCGATTCACGTCTAGCTCGGGGTGGCTCATGAATGCTCAGCTCGTGGCTCAGGGAGATGAAAGCTTGATTTTTTTAGTTCAATCAGCTGCTGGAAATGATTCCTCAAATTCCCCATAAACACTGGGGAAAGAGCTAAATTGGGACTGTGATAATTTTATTCTCTGCTCACCAGACCTAGTCTAGTCTAGCACAAAGCTGGGCTTTATCTGTGTCTCAGATCAGCAATTCTGCTGTTGAGTATAATTTATAATTACTATTTATAGCTCTCCACTATCAGCACCAAACAAAACACGTCTGACTAAATGAAATTTTAATGTATCCTCATTTTCAAAAGCCTTCTGCCACTTTTAATCCCATTTAAACCTTTGCTGAAGCAAAGAGCGCCCAGCATTTGGTGTTTCTGGAAAAACAGTTTGGTTATTGCAGGTAATCCCTGAAGGGGGATTAATTTTTTATAAACCTTTGGATTTAGACCAAGATTTTGGAGCACAAAGCACCTTTGGGCTGGTAGAATTGGGGCTGGGTGTTGGAGCAGCCCTGAGGAGAAGGATTTGGTGGATAAGAGGGTGGATATGACCCAGCCCTATGTGCTAACTGAATCCCAGAAATCCCAGAGCTGTATCCCGAGATTTTCCAAATTATGGTCCTCCAAACCTCAGGAGCTGAGGTGTTTGCGTGCTGACCCAGGGAGCACCACCAAGACCCAGCAATGCCACAAGAAAGAGCCCAAAATCGACATCAAAATATTAAAATTTACATCCAAGAAACGTCATCAAAATATTAAAATTTACATCCAAGAAACGCCGTCAAAATATTAAAATTTACATGCAAAACATTGAGTTCGGACACTTCAAGCTCAAAATTTGCCACCAAAATTCCACCAAATGATGTTTTTTGTGGGAGAAGATTCCATGCCAGCATGGAATGGAGATGAATCCCAAGCTTGAGGTGTTTTACAGGGAAATTGCAAACGTGGGGTTGAGGTTCCTGCATGCACGAACGCTCCTGGGTTCCACCTGGAATTAGTGACATTATTAACAACATTTAATAACCTTCAACAGATACAGCCAGAAGGAGCAGCTTAAAGACTGAATTTTCCAGTCCTGGAGAAGGAATGAAAAGGAAAAATCCGTGGTGTTGCTGGTGTCCAGCATTGTTGATGACTTTCCCAGTGGTAAAACTGGAAATATGTTATTAAATCCCAGCATTTTGGGAAGAATGGGATAAACTGGGAATTCCCGTCTCCCTCATTTCACTTCCTGCCTTAAGAATCATTTGAACAGAG